TACTGTCAGCCAACTAGCTCCAGTCTCCGCCGCGTCTATCCTGTTTCTATCCCTAATACCAAGTCTATGAATTCCTATGCCCTAGTCTCTTGTGTGCCAACCCACAAATGTTATGGTATTAGAGATAGAAACAGGATAGATGTGGCGGAGACTAGAGCTAGTTGGCTGACAGTAGGTTGTACTAGAGATGTGGTCCATGTAGCAGACTCGATCATGAGAATTACTCAGAGGCTTTAGCCTCGAATTAGGCACTCGGACGCAGTGTGGAAAATAACGCCTCGAGTAGGACAGATGGGGTGGCAGAGGTCGAGTGAAATACTTGAACCAGGGTGTTAGCAGAGGGATTCTACGGAGCAAGAGGGAGACTCTGATAAGACCTATGGAAGGAGGACCCCGTAACAATACGGCAAACTATGATCAACTTTCCCAGCACAAGGGTGAAGGGGGGTGAGAACGCCAGCGTAGAGTGCAGAGGGTTTTCATGAAAGCCGCTCAAAAGGGCACACCGTACAAAGTAAAAATTTGTGACAGTGAAGGCGTGACAGAAGGATATAGGAAATGTGAATAGGCCAGGGCAGAAGGGGAGATACCATAAATGTTTAGCATACGTTTGGTCAAAGGATCGGCTTCACTTATCCCTTTGACGAGCTGTAGAATGGTGCTAAGAATGGCAAAACCCACTTACGATTTCGAATGCACTCCGGACGAGGTGCGTTCCTCTAAGTCTTCCTACCAAAATGACTAAGCTGCGAAAACAAGGTCAAGCAACCTCTATACAACGAAAGGAGACTGCGACCATAAAAAAGGCCACACCATCTTGGTCTTCATATCTTCGAATACAAACTTATTCCTTCTAGGAAAACAAAGTGCGGGTCATCTGGTTAAACGGCGCGGCAGTGCCAGTATATAAAGCTTGAGTATGCTGCGCTTAAATGGTGTGCAGAGGTGCAATGTGTATTTAGTATCGGTTGTAAAAATGTCGATTCTTTTAATACAGTACAAATTGAATAGTCTTCTGGATACGAACCTAGCAAGGTTGTTGGACCTTTCTTTATTTTGAAAGCTGGATAATTGCACTTTTAGTCTTTGGATGTCTATTTTGAATTGACATAATGTGAATGTGAGGGACTCTAAAACCGATTTTAAGATAATATGTGCACAGCCCAAGTATCACCTGTCACGAAAAAAGGGGAGTTTTGGCGAGAACATAGGATAGGAATAGAAATATGCAATATCCAGTAAGCAAATAACATAGCAGCTGACAATAATATGAGTCACCAGAGAAACCTAGACTTAATTACTAGGATATGCTAGCAATGCATTAGGCGCTATCGTATGAAGGGGTTTGTTGGGTTATAGATTAATCTCATCTCTAAAAAAATAAAATCCAACATTGATTTAATTTTATTGCAGGGACTGATAGTTGATTAATCGACTATGAATCTAAAGAATTTGGCCTTTCCACTGAACTTTACTGCTCTATGTAGCGTATAAATTTTAGATTCATCCACTTCATTAATTTAATCTGGTACCCAAGAGAGGTCGAAATTGCAGTCCACCCTGTGAGAATAACTTTTGGGAGGCAAGGCTGAATGAGATGTGCTGGTTTTGTGGGGCCTGTAGTAACCTATCCTCAAACTTTCCCTATTCGCTGTTTAATTTTGTTACATCCCATGCATAGCCATGGCTCAACCTCCTTACTCGTACAGATCACGTGAATGCGTGACTAACCTTCACTCTTTATTTCGTGTTGACAAAGCAAAGTTTGGCACTACTTCGTCCAATCAGAAGCTGACATGGAAAACTACGCAAGGGTACGTTAAATACGTAAAATAGTGTCTAGGTTGTTCACCACTTCTGTCTCCCCTACGCTGTGAGCCTCGGGGTTCAGACTTTTCTACTTTACGGCGCCTTTTAATGACTGTCTTTCTACTGTCAGCCTCTCATACTGTTTTCAGCCGTTTTTTAAATACGACACTTGGTAATACTACTTTTCCTTTTATTTCTTCGTTTTGGGGCCTCCAACTTTGGAGCTGTAGAGTGCAAGCCTTTTTATATTTTTGAGACAGTCCACGCCCTTAGAAACACTAAAGGCCTACTCGTATAATTATGGAAAAATTCAACTATCAATCCTTCATTTCATCATGTGACCTGGGATGAATACAGTTCTTATATGTATTTTATCGGGAAAATTATATTTGCCCTCAGACTTATCGTATTAATTTTCATAGACATACAATTTTTCTTTGTTTGTTTTTTAGCTTTTATACATTCAATTCCTGATAGTGTTTATAGTAGAAACTGTATTTAATTACAAGTCCTTTATCACTTTATGTGATCTAAGGTGAATACGACTCTTATTCAGGATCTAACGGTAATTTGGAAACCTATGCTATCTGAACAAAAGATAAATATAAAATAAATGAAGTTAGAGTGATAGTAAATAACGAGGGATAATTGGCCATTGATCTGTCGGTCAAAGCAAAGTTATATTTAAAGCTTTTAGCGTACGTCTTTGTCAATCCTGCAACTGACGGAAAAAAGAAGGCAGCGAATGCATAGGAGAAAACGAAGGCAAGCGAGAGGTTGCTTTTGGTTATAGATGAGACGACATGAATATGCTTCTTTAGAACACTAGTCTGGGCCCTGCCGTAAGAGGATGCAGGCTCGAGTATTGTCGGATTGAACTTGTTCAGCCATAAAGCTAGATCCGGTATCAGTCCATATAAAGCAAATGCGATGAGAATAGAGAGAAGGAAGGAACTGAACAAAGAAAAACTTGCTTGAAGTGGATCAACGTTGGCTCGTGTCTAAAAATAAAGCAAAATAATCTTAGTAAATGTAAAGACGAGTTGGCGGGTTCTCATATTATGTTGCAATGCTTTAAATGTGAATATTTACTACTTCTTAAATATAATCCCCTTCAAATAGTACTGAAGAGTCCTTTTAACTATGACACGACAATGCGGGAAATACCTTATTGTAAATGGAATGTAAAAGATTTCCGTCATAGAAAGAGAAGGAATTCTCACCGAATTTAAATCATTTTCAGCACCAGTGGGTGGTGTGGATTTTTTAGATTCGGTCGACGTATCATCAGGAGTTGATGTAAGTTGAACTCTATGTCGCACAGCCTGATTTGGGTCAAGGTAGTCGGCGTGCATCTGGGAAGATATCTCATTTATTAGCAGAGGCGGATCCGAGAGGTGACCACTCGGTGCTATGCTGTTTTTCTGACAGTGTTTAGAGCTAGTGGAATCGAGAAGAAGCGAATTGAAGTCAATCCAGAGAGAAAGAGCCTGGTGCATAAAGAGAAGGGGGTTACAAGGGATTTTGACATTTAAGTAGACTACAAGGTAACTGATCCAAGCAGACCTATGAAAACGCCTACCAAGTCCAGAATACGCATAAATAAAAAATTTGGTATAATGGCACAGAGACCAGATCTGAGACAGGCCAAGAAATAAACCCTATAAATATTAAGAGAAGCTGGAATTCGAATAACCCCTTAGCAGATTCATACTGGCATACCTTTCATTTCGTTTGAGGTGGGTGGAAGGAATTCGTAAATTGGCCTCACCGGATAGCGAAGGTGGCAGGCTGAGATCCTACTTACTTTTTATACCTCCCCTTGTGATCTTAATGAGGTATTCCATGAATTGGTTGGCTATTTTATGCTTGTCCTACATACATGTAAGCGGGTCAAAGTGATGCAGGAAGGAGAGCGGATTTAGTCACAACTTTAGTTTATGCTAGACATAAATTCCTTATTACCAGTGACTTCATTACGCCCACTTTGCTACCATAAATATGATTTGAGAAAAAATTAAGAAGGAAACCCAAATTTGAGGGTTCAAAAAGCACAGTAAGTTAACCTTTTTAGATATCATAGTTATTAAAGAAGGGAACAAATTGAGTAGATATGTGTATAGGAAGCCCACTACTGAGGGTTTTCTTCTTAATTTAGAATTAAATTCTATAAGCATACTTATTGGCTCAAAGTAGGAGTAAAAAATCAATAATAACAAGGAGTTTACGTCTATCCGACGCAAGCTCAGGAGTTATATAGGCTAAGAAAAATCCTAGTTGAAAATAATTATCCGTTATGATTAATTGTCAACAATTTAAAAGTAATAAGAGATAGGAAGAAAAGAAGCCATTATTTAGGACAAAACAAGAAATTACACAACTTACTTCCATGTTCCTAATGCTACCATCCTTCCAGCTTTCAATAAAGATAGGCGAATTACTGAGGATATAGAACGTCAGGACCATGTATAAAGAAATACTAACGCTTTCCGCAGTCATGCCTTCTATTAGAGAAACTTCATACGCCCTCTGCATAACAGGTTTTTGTAAGGTTTTGTGCTCATGTGGTAATGTTTATGAGGGAGACTTATCGACCCATAATCAGGAGGCTATCAGAATACAAAACCGCCTGCAACAGTTTATGAATTCAAAGATCGGAGGTAGCTGAACATGTGGTAACTACAGCACACCAGATAATGGTTTAAATCCCAACGTTTTGCCGGATATGGGGACTTCACAGCTAAGCAGAAGATCAATGAATCGATAGAAAGTAACAAAACAAAGAACACCTTGAAAAAGAGGAACTATTGGAGGATACTAAGTAAGAACAATATCTGGCTGCTGAATAGAATAGGAGAGAGGGAAGGAAAGAAAACAAGAAGAGCCACTGAGTAAAAGAAGACTTGAATAAACTCGAGTCTGGTTTTGGACCCAAAATTGAGAACCAATCCGTGAATGTTGCATACACGCAATGCCCACGCATCTACGAACCTAAAGCGAGCCCTAGGATAGCAGGATCATACGCTAGTTTATTTGAAAACACAAAACATCTGACCACAATCGCTCCTCTTCTTGCATCATTTTGGCCCGCCTACATGCAAGTAGGACAAGCATAAAGCAGCCAACCAAAACGGATTGCCTCATTAAGATCATAAGGAGAGGTATAAAAAGTGAGTAGGATCTCAGCCGGCCACCTTTGTTGGTTTTCTGTTTTTTGCTGATTCTTCGTGAATAATGGTCTCTAGCTCTGAAGATGTCCGTCACATGATGGACGAAAACTAAGCACGGAGTAATTGCAGTTATAAGACGATAAGCCAAGATACTAATCGCACAACTCAACAGACAAAAGTCCAAGGCAACTCTCCTTCGGTATCCGGAGATGCCAGTTTATGAATCCCTTTCAGCCCCTTTCTAAAAGGAAATGAAAGGTATGCCAGTATAAACCATATAAAAATTACTCGGAGTCAAGTACAGATTAAAAATGGTGTCAAGTCAAACAAATGGCTAAAATACCAATGCTATATTGAAGTATACTAAAAAACAATAAGCGTGATCCAGAGGTGCTAATGTATTTCATTTAAGTGCAAATAAGAATATGATAGAACGAAATATATGGATTTACTCAATATAATCTTCGTGTAATGAGCCTAGCAATATTATTTTGATGAAATCTCTGCAATTTTAATGCATAAAAACATTTGAAATCCTCATCAGTCATTTCTATGATTAAGGAAATCCGTCATAAATTGAAATAAATGAATACTCTATAAGAATAAAGATTTTCCGTAATAATGCATTCTATTTTTTTGTTATATGAAAAACAAGTGAGAGCTTGAAATTGCTAGACTGAATGTAATACATTGTGGAACGTACCTAGTTCCACGTCCTTTGCCAAAGTATTGATGATGATTTCCACTTCAGACCGTTGACTTGGTATATCTCCAGAAGTTTCGCCAGCATCGTCAATGGTAAAGCCATCCTTAGCATAGAACTACAATTAATCAAAGTGATAAGTTGATAAATTGTAACTTTGTGCTAAGGATGGCGCCTCTCAATGACGAATACGGCGAAACCAAGTAAACAGTTCAACGCTGGAAATCATCATGAATCCTACGGCAGATGACGTAAAACAAAGTAAGTTCTACAAGTTCCTCTTTCGCTCCGAGCAAGTTGCGAAAGCGAGACCAAACCAACTCTATACAGTTGAAGGAGACTGCGAGAATGCCATCTTGGTCTTCACATCTATGAACGTAACAACGTTTACCTTTTAAGAATGTTACCTTGTTAAGTCTTTATTCCAAATGCTTGCTTAACAACAAAAACATATTTAAAGAGTTTATTTAGTTACAGCCTCAGATAGTATAATATTCTTATTGGAGATTGGATACACTTAGTATCACAATTTTTCTAATTTGGTTAAAAAGGAGAAATAAGTGAAAGGCAATTGAGTAAGCATGACTAAAACAGAATCGTGAAAGCATGAAATTCGGTAGTGCCGAAAACTGAAATGCCGGGCCATTATAATTTTTCAGCCCGCTAAATTAAGGGTCAGGAAAACAGAAAAGAAGTATAATTGGTATCATTATCACTAGTGAGGAGTTGATATTATTTTAGAAGCACTGACCACCATAAAAAAGGTTATATCACATTTAATGAGCTTACAAACATCAAGCTTATCTCCGGAGAATTAAAATTATTAATAAATCCTAAGTAACTCGCCTTTAGAAGAACTCCGGATATCATAATAAGAACTGGTGGCATATACACACCTATTGATATATAAGTTCGAGTATTCGGTAGAAGATAGTAATAAAAAGATTGATGTAAACGTTCTTGTAGATTATTCAGCGAACGCAGAAACCCCTCCAGAATCCTGGGTAAAAGTAAGACGAAATTTAAAAATATATTTATAAAGTATATGGCAGGTAAAAAGAAGCAGTTCTTAAACCAATAATTATGATAGCTAGCTAATCATAAATAGTCCTATAAGGCTGGTGATAAAATTACGATATTTAAATAATTTCCAAAATCAGCAATGGCTTCTAAACATCCATGTAATGCTCAGTAAGATATCCAGCCAAAATAAGAGAAAATTTCTGATAGGGAATAACTGATAGAAATAATTAATAAAAATAAGCACGAGTAGTTTTATAGTAAAATATAAAAATTTATCCATATCAATATTTAAGTAAATGTCGGATAGCATGATCAAATAGGCAAAGCCAAGTAGCTCAATAATAAGATCATATGATTGCGAAACCATACATAACAAATAAATGATTCAGAGAACTAGGTTAAGAAAGACATGAAAAGGTGTTGCTTCCCAAATTCTTTAAAGCCGTTCAGACAAACTTCCAGGATTATGAAATATTATTTTGAAAAGTCCTTAAATTTAAAAAGCAAGACTCGAGTCTTATTCATAGCATGAAATCGGATTTAAATGAGCTGAA